AATAGGAGTTGTGGCCCTGACCTTTGGTGGTTTATGACTTTTGGGAACTCACTTGAGGGGGATAATTTTATTTTATGCGCTGCACAGTTGAAGATGGAAAGAGAGGCCAGTTCTACATTGGATTTTAGTAAGTTATTTTTGCACAAGAAGAAAGGTCAAGGATACAAACAACGTGTGAAGCAGGAAAAAGATGACAAGGGTGCCAAACGAGTAAGAGAACTTGCAAACTATGGTTCCCTCAAGTTGATTGTTACAACAGATGTGATGAATTTCCAAAGTGTCCAGACAAAGGCTAACCATTTATCCACTGCAGTTACTAAAGCTAAATAATATATATCCTCGACTAGATGTTTCAGGTCTACTTGGGGTTGTGGATAACACAGGTATCTGTATGTTCTTGGATTCATGGCTGACAGAGAGTGTTCGAGTTAAAGTACCATGATTTGCTAGTGATTATTATATAATTCAAGTATCACATTTTCAAAGTGAAGACATGCTATCCCGTCTTTTTATGCTTTTCACCAGTAGCTGCACGTTAAATGTTCTCTGAAACAGCTTCTGGATGATGAGCCCAATGTCGCTGGAAGGCCTCCTGTAAATCCTTTAAAACCTGGAAACCTCGTGGTTTCCTTATCTGTGAGAATCTATAAAGATAACAAAAATCTTACGACCAAGGGGTCTTGGGGATGGTCTTTGCTTCTGCTTTAGAGCTTCGATCCTTCTCTGCTAGATGGGCTTTTAGAGCAGCTATCACTTTAGCAGCTTTCTTCCTTGCCAGGGAGTGAGTAAAATCAAGCATGTCGTTGCTTACCTTGTCTGCTTGCCAGTAGAACCTGTAAACTTGGAGTGGTTGTTGTCTCCCTGCTTCATTGTTGGAGGTTTTCATGGTCTGTGAAATGTATCCATGTTTCTTGTGCATGCTTAAGGTATTCTCTCAAAAAACTGCCAGGAACTGATAAGAATTGAGTTAGTCCATTCTACCAATAAAAATTTTACGATGCATTTTATACACAAAAATAATAATTTATTGTGCCTTGAATGTTTGATTTTCTTAATAGTGTTATTCCTATTTAAAAATTTATATTATAAACATAGTTATAATTTATAAACACAAAATAATTTTTCAACCATTAGAATAAACTAGAATATACTAAGAAGTGTTTAAAAAAGTTTTAAATTGGATAGGGGTAAAAATATGTTGCTATCCATCCATCTGTTCAAAGTATCCCTGATACATTTCGATTCCTGTTGTCTGAAGCATCATAAAGTTGTAGATTTTAAGTTGCAAACCTTTCAGACTCTCAATCGCAACACCTCGCATCAAATCTGTAACCTGTCCCATCCTTGATTGATCAAGTAATCTCCAGCAGACCGACCACTTTGGAAGTGGAAGGACCACCGCTGCTGATGACTTTACCTTAGCTTCATTTGAAAACCCTGACTGCTTGTCATTAGTCCAGACTAGAGGGACCAGCTGCAAGTCAAGCCATTCTACTATTTAGTAGACTTTCGGACGTCGTAATCTGACGAACCATCAACGCTAGTGTTTGTAATATGGCTCTGCAAGATTGGAGAAACCCAACGGCAGCTCCTCCATCTCACCTCAACACCAGCCTGAGGAAAGTAATAGTCTTGGTGTCAGCAAACGCCAAAAAAAAACTTATCTACCTTTGTCGCTGCAGCAAGGGCCACGGCAACAGCTTCCTCTTTCAGTATCTCCGTCTCCCCGACTTGAAGATCGCATCTGGTGTTAGCTTCTTATTTATAGACAGAGAAATTCCATACCAAGCACATACAGCTGCACCGAAAAAAATCGCAACGCAGCATTTAAATGGAGCCATCGTGCATGACCGTTGAGCTCGCGCTCTCTTTGGCTTCAGAGATCTCCGATGCCATTGAAACCAATGCATCTGAAGATGCATTCAGCATGTTCTCAAGTAAACCAGCTTGCCCGTGCTTCGGTAAACGATTACAGCATCAGTAGACAAGATAAACTTTTGTAGTATACCCGTTTTGCGTATTGTATGAAGGATTATACCTTTAGCTTTGACAGTTTATCAAAGTAAAACCGTTGAGGCGCACATTGCAAACAATAAAGGCCTCAACTTACGCTTCACTCTGCTTGTCAAAAGCTGCACGAACTTCGTGAACACGACACTTCGATCGTAAGACTTTATCATCCGTCTGTATATCAGAGTTTTAAAATCCGAAAGGAGAGAAACACAGCTATGACCTGAAAAGCGTGTCCATTGTCTGCTCAAATGCCTGCCCAGTGCCTGCCCAGTGCCTCGAGCTAGAGTAACAGAAAACAACAATCTTGCCACGGACCTGCCTCCCGCCCAGATAACCTGCGAGGCAGCGTCCTGTCTTCCACTGAAACAACGTTCACAAAGAATTTACGAAACTAGTCAAAATAAATGCTGGTACAGATTTGTAACAGTTCTTCAGCCTTCCACAACCAGAACTGCTCATGTTTTTGCTTTATTTTTGTTGCAATTGCACCTTCATACCACGTATAAAAGAGTAAAACAAGATTCAAGAAGAGCACACCTTTGGATTTCGTCAAACGTCTAGCAGGCTCATCACTGTTGTTTGAGCAAGTGCGACTGATTATCTTGGTAGTGGAAAATATACTTGCCTCGAGTTCTTTAAGTTTTTGAATGTATGAATCTTGCATTTTCTGTGTTTGCTCAGCAAGATTTTCCAGCTCGGAAAGTCAAACATGTCTATGCCTCTACAGCTTTGAGTAAGGAAAAAATGACTATAGGGGAACTAACTTACCTCCAATGCCTTCTTCTTCTTCGAGCCCCACCAACTTTCTTTCGAAATGCTGTTGTAGAACCGTAGAGCCAGATTTTGCGAACGACTTCATCTCTGCCTGAAACAACACACAAGCATGAAGAGCATGCTGCGGTTGAAGCTCCAAATATAATTCAGCATTTCTCGCTTCGATCCATACCTTCTTCTCAAGTATCTGCAAAGGAGCAAGATCAAGAAAACCGTTTTGTATCGACATGACAAACCTGGGCGCACAAAGAAGTTGATATTGTAGAAGTTCAATTTGCTGTCTCAGTTTTAGAAGTTCTATGATTTACCTGCAAGTAAACGAGTATGCCTCTGACGTGTTCGGCAGCTAAAAACACTTCGAGCTCGATTAGCATACTTCGGAGTGTTGAGAGTTTCTTCTGCGTTAGAATCTGCACATAAACTAAAATCAAAAGGCATACCTATTATAACAGTCTGGTGTTGCCACCAAGAGAGTCCTGCATAGGTTTTCCTGGACTTACTGATATGAACACCTGCAAACAAAAAGTGAAACCTTACGTGATATTTCTGACTAAACCAACCGTTTGTGAAACGCGTTCCAGTTCTTTCCGACCATCAAGTACAGTCATGTAAACGACTGCGACATGAAAAACGTACTTATAAAATGGCACCTTGAGTGTGTGGTCATATTAGTACTCCCTGTGACACGAAATCCAGATCCTTGCTCTAGACACGAGGACATTTCGTGTAGATTAGTGTGAGGTCTCCTCCCGTAGTCTCACTGGTGGCTTTCCAGGTGAGCAAGCTCCAGAAACACGCTCTGCTTTGACAGGTTGGGAAGGGCTTGTTCGAAAGAGGTCGGGGAGCTGTAAAGGGGATTGCCACGCAAGAATCACACGTGGACTGCCAGCGTGGAAAAGAACTTTTTCTCCTATGGTTACTTCCTCTGTGGGGAATTGGTTTCTCAGGAATCCAAGGGCTCTGTTTGATCACTTTGGTCCCCAAACTTCTTCTGGACAAGCCCACAGTTTCAAAGCTCAAATGGAGGATCTGGACCGCGATTGCTGTTTATTTGCTCGATTGCCCGGTGGATGATCATCTAGATTTGGGGAAGCTGCAATCCTCATGCACCAAACAGTGCCATCACCTTGTCTCCAATAAGCTTGCAACGATGGTTCCATTTAGCTTGAACTTAAATTTGCAGGTGTAGCACATATGTGAATTGTTTCCTTCTCTTTGCTAAATATCCAAACCATCCATGATCTTTCAGATCTCGAGAAGGCCGTAAAGGCAGTTCCTCGTTGTCAACACTCACAATCACATAGACTCTCGGACGCCCTTCGACTGTTTAGTGTGAGCGCACAGGCGTGCCTTGTTTCAGCGTGGCTTTTGCTCCAGCTCCAGACCAACAACCGTTCTCTCGAATGGCTTGCCGATCTCGATGCCCGGGCTGTTGCAACCGGTAGCAATGACTCAATGGAGAAGCTCGCGCTCTTCTCTCTCGAGAACGTCATGCTCATGGAGCCACCGTCCCAAGAGACACTCACAATCATCAGGCTTGGTCGGAGCCGCTGGCGAAGATCGAGTGGAAAGGCATCGATCTCACAAGTGGTGCCTGGGTACGTAATACAAGTTTAGTTTCTTCCTTGATCTCTGGATGGGTGATCTCTCTTTTTCTTTTTCTAGGAGGTAGCATCAGCACAGGTTACTGGTTTGTCATTCGGCGATCACGAACTCCTCCGGGATTGGATCGTCAATCATAATCCTGTAGCCTCACAACTATTGACATTTTTCATGGATCAAATAAGATGCACTGGTCTGTGGCAAGTATCTACACCGGACGCTTTCTCGAGAAGACCGCTACGACTGTAAACGCTAAGCAGCGAGCGATAAACAATCTGCAAAATAGAAGGAAGCATGACATGAACCATCTTTCCGACGCAAGCTTAACGATCGGTCACCTCTTGTATTCCTGGACGAAAACGGGTAAGGGAGAACGCGACCATGGCGATCTCAAGGCGCTGTGCAACTTCACTGGCAGTTCTTTTGTGACTCGGGAAAAGTTTATTGTGACTCAATAGGCCGATGGAAAGTAGAGAGCTCGGAGAGATGAAGGATATGTTGATCGCGAGGAGAGGACTCTTCCAAGTTACCAAGCCTCTAGTCCCAGCTCATCAAGAAATCCGAAATACTTGGCTGGTTCTCTATTTCTTAAACGTAGTTATCTTCACTAATTAGGATTTACATCCAAGGATTTAAAGTAAGATTTATACACAGGTTATACAAAACCATGGGAATGGCATTCAGTGCCTATCGTATCTATGGATTTTGTGTGCCATGGATTTCAAGGCTGGGACCCTTTTGGCGATTCCTCTCCACGTCATGTGGACCGCGTCCTCGGGGAGCGATGGATGCTGGTACTCGAAGTGCCGCTCCACGCTCTTGAGCATCGCCCACTTCCGCGTCCACTCGTCCCGCCCGATTCTCTCGAGCGCTCGCACCACGAATCCCTTGCGCAGCGCCTTGTCCGACTCCACAAACACGCAAAACTGCGAGTAGTCGAGCTCGTCCTCGAACGGCAGCTCGATCTCGTCGCTGATGATCACGGGCACGCAGTGGCTGGCGATGGCGTCGAACAGGCGGTTCGACGACGGCGTGTCGCCTGCCAGGTGCAAGCAAAACTTGGCGTTCCTCATACCCGCGGTGGCGCTGCGGATGCCATCCTTTTGGGTGTTGCCCGTCACGAAGTGGACGCCCGGACTGTCCTTGAGGATCTCATAGAGTTTCTGCCTGATAATCCCGCCCTGTCCAGGAACAAAAAACCGAAAGAACAGCGCGTGAGTTACTTAGGCTGGCAGTGATCGATCTAAACGGCTTAACAGAAAGACCCAGGCTGTGATTCCACGATCGCGCGAGTAAAAAAAGGAAAAGAATACTGTTCATCAGAAAAGGACTGGCAGTGAATCATCACACGCTAGTGTTTTGCTTGGCGACAACGTCCCGGGACTAAAAATCAAGCAATGAATCATTCTCTCGTCATTCAGAGGAAGCCTGGCAGCCAGAAAAAAACCAAGAATCTCAAGCTTGCATCACCTGAAACGTGTTAAAGAAACCGAGAAACAATGAAGAAGGAAGAAGACACACACACACACACACACACACACACACATCACAAGAAGAAGAAGAAAACAAAGAACTCAAACAAGGGAAAGACTGGCCTACCTCCTTTCTCACAATCGCGCCCTGGAAGAAGAGAAGCGTCTCACGGCTCTCAAACGTGGTAGCGTCGCGAGCAAACGATGGTATGACGTGCTTGTAAGGCGCCACTATATCCTTCCTCATGTTTGCCACCGCCCGAGAGAACCTCCCAAAGTCCGCTACCACGAACATAGCCTCCTTGAGCAAGCTCCTGGCCACCATCAAGCTGTTTGGGTGATGCATCACAATTACGTGATCCGCCCCACCGTTCCTCCTCCACAATTCCTGGCCCCTGAGAAACTCCACCAATCGTTTCTCCAATCGATCGTTCTCCACGCAGCCCCTACCCCCTTGGAATCTATGCCCGGTTCTACAATACCGATTGTAGCTGAGCGATGAGAAGAACGGCACGAAGAAGATGTCCGCGGTGGCTGGATCGGCGACCCGGACAGCGCTACACGGGCTCTTGCGAGACGAGGGATCCGTGGAGCTCAAGAGATCCGCCGTGAGCCAGTACTCTGGGCTGTGCTGCTGGTAGAGGCCGCCCGGGTAGCGAGGAAGGCTGGAAATATTTCGAGGCCACGGGCGACCGGAGATTGCCGCGTCGAGCATCCCGAAGTGGAATTCCGCTGGAAGATCATACATGTAAACCTTAAGAACACGATCGTCGAGCCCTTGAATCTGACACGAGGAGGAGAGCGATCGCGATGCTGACCTGGTGGTGCCAGTGGATGGGAGGAGCAGCGGCTTGAAGATCGTTGCGGCATCGCTAGTGTCCCCGTTCTTGGAGGGGGATTCGTCGTCGCGCGGGGGCCAGGCGAGGGAATTCTGCAAGATCGTGCCGGAGATTGCGAAGACGAGCAAGAAGGAGATGATCTTGACGATGCACGATCGCGACGCCATGGTCTGCTGCTGCTGCTGCTGCTGCTGCTGCTCCTTAGCTGACCATTCCGGCGGCGAATCGAAGAGGATTTGGGGTGACACGGGGCTGGAAGATCGCTTGGAGAGCGCCACCGGCATTTACAACGAGGAGGAGTCAAGATGAGAGAAGAAAGAAGAGCTTATTAGGTCTTTGCGAGGACGAGAGAGTGTATATCGATCTCAGCCAGCCAATTTGGCCCATTCCTCCAGAGTTGGAGTGGCGGCACTCACGTTGCGCATGTCCAACAAATTCCCTACAAGCAGCAAGATCAAGGCCAAAGAAACCGTACGGAAGGCGGCGGCCAGGGCCGTACGGAATGGTCATCGAGAAGAACAACTCTTCCTTACCGGCGTGGACTTCGGGAGAGGCGGCGGCGGTGGCGTCGGCGATGACTGTCACGGCGTAGTCGAGCGCGATGGCATCGAAGACAGTGGCGCGGATGCAATTCGGGGTCTGGACACCTGAGCGTTGCAAGAATCGAGAGAGATTGAGAATGATCAAAGGGGAGAAAATCTTTTCGAGCTCACCGACGATCACCAGATGGGAGATTCCAGCGCGGCGGAGCACCAGGTCGAGATTCGTGGCGAAGAAGGCGCTGAATCGAAATTTGCGCTGCATGTGATCGCCGGGCTGTGGGATCAATCCATCCACCAGCGCCGCGCCGGATTCTCCCTTGCACGTCGGGCCAGTCTCGCCGTCGTAGAGGTGCTGCCGGAAGAGCTCCACGTCTCTCCCGCTCGCATCGTGCTCTCTCACGACCTGGAACAAGAGCATCGATCAATCGATCGATCCATCGATCGATCGATAGTTTCTCTTTACCCAGACAATGAAATGGCCATGGCGTCGCGCGATTTCCACGGATTTCTGGACCGCTGGGACGATCGCTGGCGCTCCAAGGACGTGCATTGGGCCGCCGGGGAGGACGAAATCGTTCTAGGCCACGGGAATTCTTAGAGAGATCCGTCGCGCGCGATCTAGAGCTGGGAGTACCTGCATGTCGATGACAAGCAACGCTGTTCTTCGTTGTGGCCCGGCCATTTGGTGCTTTTTTAGGGTTTATGATGGATAGCGACAAGCGCGTCTGGCGTCTTCGATCAAAGCGCAAATGTGGCCAGGTCTGTGGCAGATCGCGATCGTCACGGATTTCAGTGGCAGCTGTGCCGCGATTGGTGATCTTGGCGGCGCTGATCCGGCAGCCCAAGCTTTGAGAAAGTGATGTTTGCGATGATCACAGCTTTAAGCTTGCTGGCTAATCGTCCAGAAAATCTCTCAGAAACGAGAAAGGTAAGAGAACTCTTGTGTGTATGAAACATTGTCATTTTTTTTTTCTTTCAGTGGTGTTCTTCGTGGCTACGAATGTAAGTTTCTTCTTGTTCTAGTTTCGAGGCTTTGATCAAGGCGTAACTTAACGCGTGGGGATCAAAAGGGATTGGATTTGTGGACATCGACGAGCTTCAAGCTGCGAAAATCCATCACTTTCGAGGAGACAAGGATCTCCGGCCCGAGGTATGGTACTTCTCCTCTAGCTTTCTCGCTCGCTCACTTCTTCATCATCATCTTGATGAGGCCCTCGTAGTTGATCATCCCCTCGGCATTCACCTTGGCATCTTTCATGAGCAAGTTGACCTCGTCCGGCGTGAAAACCTCCCCCAGCGTCGTCACCACCTCCCGCAGCTCCGCCGCCGACACCTGCCCGTTTTGCTCCTTGTCAAACACCCGGAACGCCTCCCGCAGCTCCTCCTCGGTGTCATACTCCTTCATCCTCCGGCTTACGTACCGCAGAAACGTGGGGAAGTCGTACAGCTTGTTCCCAATCTGCAGCGGATCCATCTCGAGGACCATCCCCCGGATCTCTGCCTGCGTCGGGTTCTGGACGACTGCTCGGAGCATGGGCCCGATCTCCTTGGCCGCCACAAAGCCTGCGAAACTGTTCTAGTCATTCGCAGGGACAGAGACGAAAGAAACACTTACCATCTTCGTCCTTGTCAAAGACGGAGAAGACTTCCTTGTAAGTAACGAGCTGGTCTTCTGTGAAAAGCTCCTCGATTGGCCGCTCGGGTTCGGGTGCGGGTGCAGGTTGGGCCGCAGGTGCAGGTACAGGTGCAGGTGCAGAAGTTGTTGCCACTGCCGCCATTTGGCCCTAACTAGAATTTGAAACAGCAGCATATCCAAGGCATGAAGTTCTTTCCTAGTGAGGTTTTTTTTTTTTAGCAACTGAACTGCAAGGAAAGAAATAATAAGTTCGAAGGAAGAAAAGAAAGGAGAAAGGAGTAGAGACAAACCACTAGGGGCGCAGGTCCATGTCCTGTGCAGGCTCCGTTTCTACCATCTCTTTGTCGCCCTTTTGATCTTCGTCGACGTGCGAGAAACTGTGCGTGCTGGCAACAGGGATGTGGCTGGGCAGCGCTGGAGGTCCAAACCACGAGAGAAGCACCGGGAGTAGCACAAAGCCGTTGAGGAAGCTAAGCACGCCCATGACTGCGAACATTGCGAAGTAGTAGATTCGGAATGCGTGGTACCTGATGAAGAGAGAAATGGCTGGATGATGAGAACGCAGGCTTGGGAGTTTTAAAAGTTTCGCTTACTTGAGAAAGACGAGCGGTAGAGTCGCGACCACTTGAGTTCCGAATCCATGGAGCAGGGGTTCCAGAGTCCACTCGAGTGCCTTCCCGACGCGGTAGTTCCTGGTTCCCTCCACCATCAGGAATGCTCGAGCAAGGTACGTGAGTTCGGCCGCCATTCCAATCTAGAAAATACCACGAGACAGCGTTAGAAACTGCCGAAAGGTTGCTAAACACATAGTACTCACAACTATGCCAAGGTTGACGAGCGAGAGGGCTGCAAGAGATAGATTGTCAGTTTTGGTCATCAGAGTAGGAACTACACGTACAGTTAAGTTTTGCACCGATAACGTAGATAAAGCCGTACACTTCCAAGTCCACCATGAGCAGAACAATCACGATAAGGACCGAGATCACGATGCTGAACTGGAAAATGAGAACGGCCACAAATACTCCAACTGCAAAAGAAAAAACCAGTGAGCCTGCTTGAAAGGAATGGACTGCTGACAGAAACTTACGTAACGCGAAGCCCACCACAATGTACAAGTTTCGGCTGCTGTGAAGATACTGTTCAAAGAAAAGGAACGGATACCCGTACACGTAGCCAACATTTTCACCGATCTCGGCATTCATCTGGTCAGCTATTTTTCTGGTCTGTCTGATCATACGAAGATTTGGTTCCGTCTCGGCACCCAAGTGCTCTATAAAAATCTGTTTCACGCATGTAGAGTTCCATAAACATGAAAGGACGTATAACAAAACTGACTTACAGATGTCTTTGTAGCCGCAACTCGAAGATTTGGTTTGAATGTGGTAGTGAAACAATCCAAATGTTCTTTTGTAGTCTTGTCCTCGCAGTAGTAATCGGGCAGTGAAAAAATACCTGGACCAAAATCTTCAAAGATGAGCTTGCAAACTGAGCTTCTGTACCTATGGGCGTCGATGACCAGGCTTGCTGAGTCTGATCGAAAACGTCGACAGGGATAGTAAATAGCGGAATCCCGGAGACATTCACAGGAACTGTTTTTATATCGGGTCTAGAATTAGCCGTGTAAACCATAATGTTTCCCAATACTGACGCTTCTAGAACCTGAAAGAAGAAAGAAGGCTGTGAGGCCATTGCGAAGAGGGGTAGTGATCCAAATTCTTATATGGACTAAGTGTCATCCTCCGCAAAAGGAACAAAAAGTCGATATTACCCTGGGTTGTGGAGGAGTCCAGTATGACAAGTTGCTTTGCATTGTCTCGTATATCTTAAGAAGATTTTCCTGGTTCCTCGCAAAATCAATATCTCGCGTCACATAGTTCTGTAAATCAAGGTTCAATAAGAAACCATTGTGGGACTCAACCTTACAATTTGGTAGCTTAAGAATTTTCCCTCTGTTACGACCGCAAATGTGTTCTGGTACGAGCCTAGTTACAAGAAAATGTGTTGCTCAGAACGTGATGTGAGAAGGCTACCTTTCAGAGTTATATCGGATAGTAATAACCCGTGCTCGACTTTTTCAAAGCCCAGGTAAGTTGTCACAGCGAGTAATGCTGAGAACAATACAAGCTGAAACCGTGCAGGGTTAGAACGAGAAAAACAAGGTTGAAGATACGCACCACAACGACCTTGAACAGATTATTTTCAAATAGAGGAGCATAGTACTTTGCAACAGCTCGCGATACGAAGGATGTTCCAGTGACATGTCCACTGAAATTTCCAGGGGAGTCCTTTGACGCAAGCGGCCCTTCTACAAAAGCACACACACAAGATTAAGAAAACGCAAGCGGGTACCAAAACCGAAGAAGCGAACCTAGATTTTCCTTCTTTCGAATCCCGCAAAGCAGCCAAAGGTAAGGATCACAAACATTGGCCTGCGACATAGTGTTGAAAAAGACAGGTATAAATAAAAACAGACTTACCTTCACTCGTCTGGCATCGATTGCCATTATCGGTATAAATATCAAAAGCATTCCTAGAGTATGAAGTGTTGCTGTGATCCCCATTTGCCAGCAAAACCACCTCACGATTGGCATTGGACTCTTCGTGAACAAAATAAACAAACTCCAATTAGCAAAGTGAAATACCAAATTGCAATACCGACAAGTGAAGAAATGAAGAATGAAGCAAGAACAGAAAACGTTGTTAACACCACCGATGGACCCGCGAGAGCAGTCGTCATTCTCATCTCTGCTTCAGGTACTTTTGAAGTTATGTCTTTGAGTGATGGATCTTTTAAGTAATTACGAAGCACGCTCACTAGCACAAAAACATCATCTATGCCTGACAATTGTACAAGATGTTAGCAATGTAAACCATAACATTTGATGTCATGTACCCAGTCCCAGTGTAAGGAAAGGTACCACAGAACCGGCCAACGGGGTTAACTTGATTCCAACAGCAGCGCTAAACCCAAACCCAGCGATAACAGCAAGTGAAACTACAACCATTCCCTGCAAACAGAGAAAAAGGTTAGTTCCGATCGGTGATAAAACGTCCTTACGGTGAGAGCCAGCCATGTAAACGAGTGTACAGGGTCCTTGAAGTTGACAAAAGCCAGAAATGAGTATATCGAGACAAGAATGCCGCTAAGAACTATCTGCCACACTGGTGTTTTATTGGCATCCGAGATTATGTCTTCCGACGACCTCTGTAATCGAAGAAAGTCAGGAAAGTTTATCAAGCAGACGCGAAAATGATTGATTACATACCCACATGTTGAACTCTAGCTGCAGGTCACCATAAATATTTTTGTCGCCAAATATTGTGCTTGGTTGGTGCTGTCGTAGAGGGTCCAGTTCGTTGATCATATGAGCTTCCCAGTCTTTAGTAAGCTGCTCCCTCTGTTTTTCTTGAAAACTTGTACCCAGTAAATTAGAGATGTACGATTCCCAGACCGGATGCCTTTGATGGAAATTGTTTCCGGCCCATCTTAATCCTTTGATCTGAGAGACATAATGAATCAAAATTACAGTTGTGAGCAGACGACTAGTACGTGTAAGTTTCAAGTAGTAACCTCGGTGATGTTCCCAGAAGCATCGTACTTCAGACTACCCAATGACGTTAGAGTTGGGCTGTGTGCTCCAAACCATGTCATGCAGCACGGTTGCGTTCCAGAGAGGCAGTCCACAATCTATGTGACGGTAGTGAGCATCAAAAACTCGCTTTAGAAATATAACCTGAGGATTTGTCGGATTCGGATCAGCAGACTTTCCAAATCGCAGGGCAGCATTTATGTGATCTAGAACCTGAAATTTTTCAGAGCTTATTTTCGAGCTTGAGTTCGCAAACTGAATAAATTACTTGCTGATTGGTCATGCCTGCGTATGATTTTCTCCAGCTGTATCCCCATGTCAAAAGAAGCCGAGACAAACCAGTAACTCCCTGGACAAGCTGAAACATACTGTATAAGTTAAGAAACTAGGAAACCATAAACTTTAGAAACCTCATTGACGGTGTTTTCATCGATGTTTAGAGCTGTGTAGTTACTGCGAACTTCCGTTTGACAGTTTCCGTTAGGGATGACAGCAATTTGAGCGATGCGTAACCCGGAGACAGCTGAATCATAAACCATAAAATAGAATATGTACTGCGAGCAAATAAATCAAGAGAAGTGTACCTTCTTGTTCAAGTAGTTTTAACGCTGGTGGATAGTCAAAATCGCCTCCTTCTTTAAAACAGTCTAATGCCGATAGTTTCAGACAAGGAAGCCAGTCTATACCCCATCCATCGGGTAAACGCAGTTCAGGAGGAGCATTCAGCGCCTCTAAGGCACAATTTGCATATTTTGAGTATCCCCATGAAATGAAGTTTTTGTTCTTCAAAGGGTCTGTACCAGACTTTATGTAATCCGGCACAACAGGCCTCTCACAGAAATCGTTCTGCAATAGAAAATGGTCTTAATCTGAAACCAATGAAGACATCATCACATATCATACCTCGCGGAAGTTATATGTCTTTCCGTTTATCGTTCTTGTCATGGTCAAGTTGTCATAGAGAGGAGTAATGGATGACTTAAGAGCGTCCATCGCATGGACCAAGTTGTAATCCTTGCCATCCCGTGGTGTGATTGTGACTGCCTCGAGCCGAGAAATACCCCCGAATCTGAAACCAGACAACGTTACATTTATACGAACGAAATTCAAACAAGAGAACCTCGAATCGAAAAACTCTTTCTCTTCCACGACGCGAGAGTTTTGCTCAACCCATAGCTTTTCCAGATCGGCTTCCTTCTTCACATTAAAAAGACCAAAAGAAATTCCTCCAAGCAGGACGAGTCCAATTCTGTGAAAGTGAAAAGAGAAAAAACTTATCGCGGCAAAAACGCAAGAGCGAAAATCGTACATGAGCGGAACAGTCGGACGACGAGCTGCAAACGATCCATACCGCTCAAACACCTCGTTCATTGCTCTGTGATATCCATCGAGCACACCCTGCAAAGCGAGAAAGCTCAACACAGCAACCAAACCAAAAACGGCGCTCACCATCTTCAAAGCGGAGAAGTTTGAAAGCTTAACAGATGCTTTGAAGCGAGACAGCCACCATAGCCAGGGAATGACACTGCTGCTCCTGCTATTTCACGTGAGGCCAGAACTTTGTAGGCTCCGCGCGAAATGACGCGCTTTGTACTGAAGTTGAAAGAAACAATAGTAGAATATTACTCCGTCGGCATCAAAGTGCCTTTTGTATTATAGCGCGCAGGTTTAAACCTGCGACCATAACGAAGTAAGAAAACTCGAGGACACACCATCGTCTACCTCCTATACGAAAGATAAAGCTTTAGCTGTGGTTGGCGGCCCTGGCCCTTCGTTTGTTCTGGATGGCTCGAACGTACTCCGAGATCAAGACATGGAGCTTGGGAGCGCCTTTGCCAGCAAACGCTCCCAGTGGAGGCACCGTGTTGTTATTGGCGGCCCTCTTCATTACTCGAGCAGCTTGCCTCTGGGCTAACTGGAAGTGAATGGCGCAAAAAGATGGCACTACCGCACGAAGAACGGGTTTCCCACAAGTTCCATTCGGGGCACTGGAAGGAGAAAAAATAGCAACGTGAGACGCATGAAACACCAATGTCAATGGACTTGATGAAATGTCAAGAACTTGTCTAGCAAGAAATAAAAAATAAAATCCTATCCAGCACGAATGGCATGACATAGATTAAAGCACTTTTCTAGCAAGAAAAAAACTAATTCTAGCGAAGAAAGACAAGATGCAAAGAAATTGATCATATCTCTAAGAACGTAAACTCCTATCCACCATGTCACTACCAATGCATAGAGTATGACTAAAACAAAAGAAAGAAAGAAACCCAAAGACACGAAAAAAATTCTAAGGAAGGAAAGACTCGATCGATCGAAATATCACACGGCATACCTGCGAGGAACGAATGCGCACGGCTTGTACAAGCACTGGCGAGGCTCCAAGAGAATATGATCGAAGCAATAGGCGCTGAGCGGCATCGGCTTGGTCATGCATCCCTGGAATCCACACTTGATCGCCTCCCCGGCCGATCGCTCGGGCACTCTCATGTCCACATTGCCCGGCTGCTGCGATTCCTCCGCCTCATTCTCCTCGCGCCAGCCGCTCTTCCCTGTCCGGAGATAGAACCTCCGGTACTTGGCGCGCAGCTCCTCGAGCAATGCCCAATACTGTACCCGATAGAGCTTGATCAGCTGCCTCACCCTTCGCCGCCGGCGCTTGACGACCTCGGCCCTTGTCATCACCATGGATCGCGATAGCATCTCGTCCTCCTCGGCGCCCTCCATCGCCACCGCTGGCACACACTCCTGTGGATCCTGTGAGAAATATCCCTCATCCTCCACGAATCTCTCATCCGGCGCGGCGCTCTCCGCCACCGCCGCCGCTGCCGTGGCCGCGGCTGGCACAGCCACTGGCGGAGCAATCCCTTGCCTGCGCGCCATCGCCTCGCTCTAAAACCTCTCCACAAAACCAAAGAATAAAGTAATCACACACGAGTTCGATTCTCCTCGTCGAGTGCTAGCTTGGACGCCACTTGTCTGCCAAGCTGGCAATTATAACCACGCCCGCGCAGTATAGAGCTGACTTGGAAATACGTGGCAGCCGAGCTGTCAGCTTAGAAGCTAAGTAGCCTCTGGTTTTGCTGGTTCGTGAAAGAGAATGGTATAACTTTGTCATGGGGGCCAGAGCCAGGATCATCGAGCTTCATCGGATAAACTTCCGGGTTCCTGGACGAAGAACAAAACCAAGAACAAAACGAGGAGAAGATCATCAGCGAGAAAAAAAAATTCGCGACGTGATCAAGTACCTGTCCAAAGCGGAAGAGATCTCGGTTCCAAGGAGTTTGCACTGGATGATCTCCAAAGCCCAGCAGATCACGTCAAACGGAGGCCTTTCTTCCGGATCTTCATGCCAGCACTGCTGGATCAGCTTCGCCAAGCTCGAGTCGACGGAACTCGGCAGCCGAGGCCTCTTCCCGGCTCGTTTCAACCCAGGGATGATCCAGTTCCCACCCCGGATCTTCTCCAAGAACTTCTCGGGCGACAACTCCTTGTACTTGTCCAGCGGAGTCTCTCCCGTGAGGACCGCGTAGAAGGTCATTCCAAAGCTGTAAACATCGGCCTTGTCCGTGTAAGAACACTTTGATCCTTCGTCACCCTGGAGAACTTCTGGAGCCCAGTAACAGTGCGTCCCTCTTCGAGCCGTGAGCTTCCCGTCATCCACGGATCTGGCAGTGCCGAAATCTCCTAACTTCACCTCTAGACCGCTGGGAAAAGTCTGGTTGAATCGAACGAGGAAGTTTCCCGGCTTCACGTCCCGGTGGATCAATCCAAACGCGTGCATGTACATGAGAGCAGTGGCGAGCTGGAGCATCACGTCGATCGCAGCTTTCTCTTCCAGCGGTAGATGATGGGGGTCTTTTTCAACCTTGTTCTTGATCCAGGTCTGGAGATCGCCATCCATCAGCTCCATGATCAACCCGGCGCCAGAGTGATTGCCACTGCTACTGCCACTCCCGCTGATGGAGTAGCCATGAGGCTTGACAACGTGAGGATGGTCCAGCGTGAAATGGATCACTGCTTCGTCCTGGAGGTGTTCTTCCTCGCTAAACAGCTTGATCGCAAATTCCTGTTTCGACCAAGTACACTTGTGGATGGCACCGTAAGCTCCTTGCGCTAGAAAGATTCCCATCTGGAAGCTCGCGGCCCTGGGAAGAGCACCCAAGATATCCTCCACTGTACCACCGATTCGCGGAGGAAATCTCACATTTTCCATCTGGAGCCACAGATTTCCGAGCTCGACCCTGTTGCTCATCTTCGGAAAGAACATGTGAAGCCACCGGTTGATCTTGAAAGGCTTGTAGACGAGCTTGAGAGGGCCAAGGTATGCCGTGGTCGTAGTCTTGACGTCGAGAGACTCGAATGTCATGGAATAGGACGTCGCCAGCGCTGGAATCAGGGACGAGAAGCTAAGATCGTGGGAGTACCTTACCAAGATTTTCTGCGATATCTCTTGCGCCTGCTTCTCCGTCGCTGGATCCTGGTACTCGAGCCCAGCGAAGGGATCTTGCAAGACATAGCTGCCGAGGAGCAATTTGCGCGCCATGGATCGAGCTCCTGTGGGACGGGACGACGCAAGATCGATCGCAAAATGTGGGAGATCGATCGAGAAAACGCGTCGTCAGAGTCAAACAAGGGAGCCCCAGTTTATATTTTAGGGTTCTTGGGGCTTGTCGCATTTAGGGTTCTTCGCGGCAATGGCGTCGAGGTTGCTCTCCCGATCCACGCTCGTTACGAGTCTGCTGCGCCGATCCACTTCAGCTCCAAGGAATCTCCACGGCATTGCTCCAGTGTCGCCGCTCGCCAGGGAGACGGTGGGAATTCCAGCGGCCGCCAAGAACTTCTATGTGCCGCGGCGGGATCTACACATCAACGAGCACTCCTTCCGCGAGTTGGCCGTGGATTACGGCTTCACAGAGTTTGAGCCGCTCTACCGGGTGCTGCGATTCATCGTCGTCTATCGCTTCATCGCCGAGGTACTTCTTTCCTAGCTCTAAAACACATCTAGCTGGGCTTGTTCTTGAAAGAACTCGATAGATTGCAAATAAATCTCTGTGGAGCTTTTCTTCTTTCTGACTTTCCAGGAGCAAAACTTACCACCATCGATCGTCACACACTTTCTAGAGATCGAAATCGTCGTCCTTGAGAGCTTCTTGCGCGGCCTCCTCCTCCTCGTCGTCCAGCACAAAGTACGGGTTGTGGACGACCGGCCGGAACTTATAGCCAGTGAAGAGATAGAATGCCAGAGTCGCGGCCTCGGCCGCGAAGCTGCTCGACCATCGGTACTGGTATGGCGTGATCGTTGTCAGCGCAAACACCACGATCCGGGTGAAGTAGATGTAAGTCACGACGACGATGTAGTACTGGCGGAAGAGCGTGAGCTTGACGAGGTTCCTGGCGGCCTTTCCATCCGAGTGAGAGGCCTCTCTCAAGTGCTTGATCGACCAGACGATGGGGAAGAGGATGGCGCAGCAGCAGATGATATCGAGCAACAGGAAGAGCTGGCGCCAGGTAAACCAGCTCTTGGTCGCCGGCCCGGTCTCGTCGATCACGATCGAGGCAACGTTTGCAAACACCTGGAGCGGGATCACCACCATCAACACCTTCTTCTCCTTGTCCTGGAGAAATGGCTTGAGGAACGACCACCCGGTCCCGACCAGGACGATCACCGTGAAGAGCATCACACCCTTGAGGAAACCCGAGATGTAGAAGATCACGTCCCAGCCGTGCGCGGTGCCGGTCTTCTTGATGTAGCTCTTGTCCTCGGCCTCGGCGAGCAAGTTGAGCACCTTGAGCGCGAGAAGAACTCCCATGAGGATGTGGATCCTGTGCGTGGTCTCCTTGTGCTTGGCGCAGAAGTAGATCCAGAGGGCCGTGAGCGCGATGTAGACGAGCGCGAAGGTGAAGAACAGCGCTGGGAGCTGGGTCTGGCCGGCCGGGAGGAAATCCTTGACACTGCCCTCCAAGTTGTACATGGAAGTCTCCACGATCATCGAGACCTGCGAGTGAGCGTGGCAATTGATGAAGAAGAGCGAGTACTCGTTGCCATCGGCCACCGGGAAGGTGTTGTTGTAAGTCCCGCCGCGGCCATCGACCTCGTTGAGGCGGAGCAAGGCGCGGATCTTGGGATTGGCGAGGATGCACTGGTTCGGCTGCTTCTCGACGTCGGCGAAGACCTGGAGGAGCGCTTCCTCGGTGCTGAGGAAGAAGCCCATGAGCGAGAGATCGGCGTCGGACGAGACGTGGACCTCGGACACGAAGATCCCCACCTCGCCGCGGTTCGTGAAGCCGAATTTCTCGAACATGATGAGCGGGCGGCCATCGTCCTTGATCTTGGTGCTCTTGATCTCGGCCACGGCCAGCAGCGGCAGGAGCAGGGCTAGAATCACGCCGAGGATGCTGACCCTAGGAATGGCCGCCATGGCCCTTGCGGCGATGAGAAGATTGCTGTTACCCTAGTGGCTGAGAGATCCCAGATCGAAGAACCCTAACTTGTGATCGCGAGAACTCTAGATCTGGGACTTCGTCGCGCGCGCACCTCTTTTTCCGCGTGGAAAAGCCCTAATGCAGGTATAACTGCATATTCCATTCCATGTCATCGCTTCGCTCTTTGACGTGGCGTACACGTGTATGTGTTCCAAAGTAAAGCCCTAAAATGATCAATTTTTTTGGTCAGTAACGATTGTTTGGTTGATCTTCGCAGGGGAAAATCGACGCTCGCTTGAGAGGTATAGATCAATTTTTTTGGTCAGTAACGATTTTTTGGTTGATCTTCGCAGACGCGTATAGATCAATTTGTTAAGTGGTAGTTTCTGAAAATGTTTTAGACATCGAGTGGATACAACTACGATGGATTTGACGTTGGAACTCTCCTTACGAGTATGCCGGATTCGATTGCGACTTCTCAGCGTAGTCTACAGCCATTTGCGATGTAATGTATCACCGAAGCAATGCTCTTGTTTTGCAGCATCTATGATGGTCGTTGAAAACTTGATCTAAGAAAAGGCACCTGTTCAACAGTTGTAGTACAGGTACTTGGCGAGTGGAAAGCTAGTGCTCCTAGCGATCTGCAAAGCCAGCGAAAACCATAGTTGAAGTTAAAGAAGGAATGAAACGTTACCATATGGATGGCTTCCTCCTCCACATTGCACCGAAACTTTGGAGATCCTTCAAGTGGATCAGTGAGTCCTTGTGATATCAGACCAACGCCGACGAGCGTTGATAGCTGCATTAGAACATCGGACGTGACTTCCATGCCTGCGTCTTCGTCCAGTTTGTTGTCATGAGCAGAAATCCCGAGTTTCAACCCAGGGCCGGTTGCAATGCACGAGAATATTGCCAGGAGCCTCTCCAGAGAGAAGCTGCCTGGACCTTTGAGTTGCCTCTCCATCTCCTTGTTTTCTTTCTTTTCCGTGGCTGACAGAGAACTCCTGTGATCGGAACACGTAAGAGAAAAGAGAAGAAATAACTAGAAATTGAGCTTCACCTTCGCCTTCGTTTCCTCGAGCCACTTGCGTTGCCGGCATCAAACAAGGCGGCATCCAATGTAGCTGGATTAGTGGAAGCGATGTATGCCGCCAGAAGCAGATATTTACTGCAGAGAGGCAACTGTAAATCGCAGAGTTGATCGTCGGACGCTGGAGCGCTGATGACTGATCTTCCTCCACCTTGTGACTCCAGTAACTTTCCTGGAGATGCTGCAAGGATAGAAGAAGCCCGTCCCAAGAAGCTGCGAACGTGTGGTTTGATAAGCGTGAAGAGCTTTCGTTTCCCTTGCTCGTCCGGAAGCACCGCTCCCGAGACCACCGGCGCGCAGTACTGCTCAAAAAGAGGCTCCAGCAGCATCATGAGCTCGGTTATTCTCCGTGTTGCTCGGCTAAACGGCTTCAACACGGCACTGGAGAAACCAAAAGATTAAGGCGCATGAGTATCATCCCTCGGCATGAAAGAAGCAACTTACTTGAGAAACGAAACGTAGAGATCGGACTTGATTTGCTTCTTCACCAGGATCTGGAAGAGTTCGTCGTCTAGATAATCTCTGAAGTAAACTGGCAGGGGCTGCCGGCATCCTGTGCCGGACGTGAAAGCATGAGGGCCAACGCTGCTGATGAATACCATTCCCAGCTGCGGGAGCCGGGAGAGCTCTGGAAGCCGAAACAAAACCGATAAAAGGTTTTGTCCACCACTCCAGTTCCTCACGAGATCAATGTTGTCAATGATGAGGTAGACAACCCCTGTTTCTCGCTTGAACCAGCTCAAGTTGCCAAACACAGTGACCAATTCATCGCTACTGGCTTTGCCGTTTGACGGAGACGAGCAGCTCTGTACTGAAAAACGAGTTGTGAGAAAGAAAAATGAACGACCGACAGACAAAAGAATGCACCCACTTCATTGTTGGATCGACGAATAGCCTCCTCGCAAGCATCTGGAAGAAACTCCACGAAATCCGAGGCTCTTTCACACTTGCGCGCGCTGGAGTAGCCATTCTCGGCGCTCCTCACGTGCCCAACCAGGCTGTTGATGATCGATTCAAACAAAATCCTGGCGGCATGGCACGATCGACAGCTCGCGTATGCGTATGGCCTGCGCAAATGCCGGAAGATCTCCTTGACGACGCTCGTCTTGCCGGTAGACGCAGCGCCATGTACGAGCAGCGGCGGGAAGAAATCATACGGGCCTCCCAAAATCGACAGGAGATCCTGGATTTCGCTCCTCCTGCCGGGAAAATCACGTACCAGGACCTCTTGCCTCTTCCCAATGTTGGCGTCCGCGTCGGCGGAATTCATGATCCAAGAACCCTAAAAGGATCCTAGAACCCTAGACATTATTTTTACCAGGAGGTCCAATTGATAATTAAAACATACAGCAAATACTTAAATTTCTTGTGCATAAATTCCCTGGTAACAGAATATATTGAAAGGTGAAGAAGTGTCTTGTTGCGAAATAGAAATTGCAGTAAACCTTCCAAAATGTAACTCCAAAAAGTATTTGCATAGCACCTCTATTAATTGCATCATCTCCAAAAGAATTAAAGGATGAAGATAAAGACTATTTTCTTAGTATTGGGAATTAAAATACTATAAACTGAACTATTAACAGTTAATATAGATCTTAAATAGGAAGCTTTTGTAAATCAGCTAAGAGCTATTAATAGATTAGGTTCTTAGAAACTAAACTTGCTTATTTGCTGCCCAATAAGAATCAGAGATATGTGATCAGGCAGCCAATTGCAAATTCATGTTACCTAAGGAGATTTGGATTTGGGTATTTGCAATTAGAGGGAGATCATAGACATATGAAAGATTGTTCTTCTTAGGAACGTGATGAGATGGGTTTTGGAATAGGACATAAATGGCAGCCTCATTTGAACATCTATGGTTGGAGAGTTGGAGATCAAAAAGTTAAAGAGAATGACTACATAAGTAATATAAAAGAGAGGTGTTTGTGACTTTGTGAGGTCAAGCTGGGCCTAACTCCATCCCTTCAGGGCTTTTGCATTCAAATTTTCGTGTGTTTGAGAGTGTGAAGTGGAGCAGTTCGAGGTTTATCCCACATAAAGGCCTTGAGTTGAGTTGTAGTGAGAGTTCTAGTGTTTATGTGGGGAATCCCCCTATTCAACATCTAGGGTTACAACATGTTCTAGTGTGTTAATGCCCTTGCCATGGGGTTTCTTGTGGGTCTTTTAGCCAGTTAGAGAAATCTAATGCCCCCAAAAGTTTTATGAGTGTCTGAGAGTGAGTTTGATAGTAGTAATGTGTCTTGTCCTTGTTGGGTCTTTTGCTTGAAGCTTCTATAAGTTGTGTCTACACTTTAACAGCCTTTTGGAGTTGCATGTGGGCAAGATCAATACTTGAGGGCTAATGGAGCTCTAGCCAACACTTTTGTAGTTTTTAAGTTAAACAATCAAGCTGGTGACACATGGAAGTTCTAGTAAGTTTAAGTTTTCACACTTAGGATCAGCCAAAGTAGATTTAGAATCTGACTGTTCTAATGATCTTGAAGGAGTTATGGTGAGCAAGATTTTAATGCCACAAGCTTGTGAGGAATTTTCTTGGGGTCTTCAGCATCAATCTTGGGGTGACATAAATGAGGTGAAATATATATATATGAATCATTAACAACAAATAGTAATTTGTAAGCATTTGGCTAGATGGCTATAACAGGTTTTGGTGCCTCATATTTAGCTTTAGAACAATAGAGGACCAAACAACTACAAAGAACCACCATGATTTAAGCCAAGCTAATTGAAATAAATTCTAAGATTTGCAAAGAGACTACATTGAGTTTTTTAGTGTTATATGACAATTTTGCATCATTCCACCAATATTAACATAGTCTTCCAAGATGAGGATGAGGATTTAGAGGAGGTGGTAGAGGCTGAAGTTAAAGACTATTTGGAATACATAAGGACATTTTTAACTTTGGAGATAAATGGCAATTGGCATCTATTGTGGAACACAGTTCTAAAGATGGAAGAAAAGAGCATTTTATGTCAACATTGTTGAACAATCAAGGAAGTGTTAAAAGTAGAAATGCTTGTAAGTAGCAAACAGCAAAAAAAAAAACTGCAAAAGACTGACTAATAGCAATTAAAAAGGTTGCAAGAGGTCTATTTGAGGGGGTTTAGGTTACTTAGAGATGTCATTTAAAGTAAATGCTCAAATGAGTTGTAGGCATGTTTTTGTGTTGAGCATATTTATGGATTACTAAGGTGAAAATAAACTCTATAGAGGATAGAGGAGAAAGGAATGAAGTCTTAATGAATTTAGTAGAAACTATAACTCTTTTTGTCATAGATGTGGAATTAAATTAGGATTTAATCCAAGTTGAGGGTAGGAATGGTAAAAATAATTATTTTTTTCGTAAAATAGAAGCTTTCTTGCCAGATTTTTTATCAAATGGATGAGTAATGGTAGTAGAAATCTATATTGTAACAAAGTTCGAGGACAAAGAGTTGGTTATAGTCACAAAATAAATATCTAAGTCAATATCTCAAATTGTTTTTGTTTAAGCATTTCCAACTTGAATAAGAACCAATAAGAGTCTTATAATATGGTTGAATGCTATATAATTAAAGCTAGTAGAGGTAGAAAATAAATACATATGCCCACTACATGGATGATTTAGGCATTTACCAACTAATTTGAGTTGAAGCTTTTAGAGGAGGTAAAAACGTAGTAGAAACTTAGCCAATTAAAGAAACTTAGTGGTTTTAAGTAGAACTTAAACAAAATTGAGCATTTATGGAGTTGTTGAGCTGATAAATTAAAGCATCCAAAAAATGAAAAAGGAAAAATGATTAGAGATACAAATGTGGTAAAAATTTATAACTAATTAGGGAAACTCAATGGTCCTAAGTAGACTTAAACAAGGATATGATCTAGCTTCTAAGATGGGTATTTCCAAAAGGTGTTGAGTTGCAAGTTAAAACATCTAAAATAAAAAAATGAAGAATGGATAAAGATACTATTAAAAAGGTAATAAAAACTTAATTAGGGAAATTCAATGGTTCCAAATTTAAAATTTAAAGAAAGGGATCAGAAAATGGCTTAAAGGCCCAATAACCTCATGGAAAAGGATAAATGGTTAGCAATACCCCTTGAGTTTAGAGAAATAAGTAAAATTAAAGATATTAAAATCCATCTACTATAATGTAGTGTATATTTA